CAAGAGAAAGTAAGTTGACGAGAAAGTAAATTTCTGTTCATTAAAGCCACCCACTTGTGGTATTTCTGTAGTAGCAGCGCTAAAACACAAAAATAACATCTACCTTCCCATTTGTGCTTGCTTGCCTGTGGCGTGCTGCTTCTTTAACTCAGAAGGGACAGGCTTGAGATCCTGTAGGGAGTCGGTGACAGGGCAGGATGCCAGGCCGATGCCTCCCAGGCTAATGCCCTTTCCAGTGGGAAGAGCACTATCTCCTTCCTGCCCACCTGGTTGGGAATAAACCCTCTCTTGGCCCCTCCACGACTGGGGCAAGTTCAAACCCACCAGTCACCCTGCAGAAGGAAGAGGGGTGATCTATTTCTGTAAAGATTTACAGCCTTGGAAATCCAATGGGGGTTGCTATGAGCTGGAAACGACTCGATGCAGTGAGTTTGGTTTGTTTTTTAGAAGGGGCATAAACTCCCTCTCACTGCTCCCTATTGCTTATATCTGGCCCTCTTGGCTCATTTACAGAGCTTCTAGCATTGTCCCAAAGTCCAGTGTTATAGCCAGAGTTCAGTGTATCAGTTTCTCTACTTGCAAAATGGGACCTGGAGGTGTAATTCTGAAACACCCTGTTCTATAACACTCTGGGTTTTGTGGAGAGACCACTAAGGAGAGTGGTTTGTGGCTGGGTGGAGAGACTGGCAAGCAGGACTCTGGGTTTCTTTCCCTCACTTCATGCAGAGCCCTGCCCCTTCCTCCATCTGTTGTGTGCATTGCCTTTCTGGGAAGGCCTTGTTTAAGAGGGAGCTCTACAGCTTTAAAGTTTGACAACCCTGGATAAGCTGTCTTTGAGGATCTTTTCGGCTCTAATAGCTCATGATTTTATGAGTTACAGGAGAAAGAACAATAACTTTCATGATGATATGACTATTCTGAGTGTTTGCTTTATGTCATGCACTGTGCTAAGTGCTTTACATATACTTATTTAAAAAAAAAAAAATCCTTACAGCAACCCTGTGATGTAGGGAATTGGCAGATAGGAAACGGGGACTTGAGAGTAAGGCAATTTGCTCAAGATCACATAGCTGATAAATAGTGGAGGAGGCCTTAAACCCAAAAACCTGAATTGATTACAAGGCACAAACTATCAACTCACAGGTCAAATCCAACCTGAACATGTGTATCTTTTGGGCTGCGCAGTGCTTTTTTTCTTTCTACATTTGAATGAGTTGCCAACATAAAAAAAATAAATAATAAAAAAATAACACCCAAGAAATTTCACATAAAAAAATGGATTTGGGGCTTTTTTTTTTTTTTTTTTTTAAGTGGAAGATCTAGCAACACTGGGGGCCAATATTCCAATAACTGTTTGGGGCTGATTAGCAGCTGCCTGTTTAGAAGGGAAGGAGCTCTGGTAGTATAGTGCATAAGGCACTTGACTGCTAACTGGAATGTCAGCAGTTCAAACCCACCAGTCACCCTGCAGAAGGAAGATGGGGTGATCTATTTCTGTAAAGATTTACAGCCTTGGAAATCCAACGGGGGTTGCTATGAGCTGGAAACGACTCGATGGCAATGAGTTTGGTTTGGTTTTTAGATGGGGCATAAACTCCCTCTCACTGCTCCCTATTGCTTATACTTGGCTCTCTTGGCTCATTTACAGTATGTGTCTGGCCCTTTAGGCATCTGAGTTTGCACCCCTTGCGCTAATGACAAGTCTGTGTCGTCTTCAATGTTTCTCCTTCTAGATCCCTCCATTTCCATCTGTTTCTTCACCAGCTACTGCTGATTCTTCCCAACTACCTTTCTCTCATCTGCCCCTTCCTCTTTATTCACCTGCCTTCATACTTGGTCTCAGATGAAGTGTCTTCTGTTGGATCCCTCCATTCTCCCTCACCTCTCTCAAATGCATCTTCCTAATCTCAGCACTGATATCTCTAAATATCATTGTCATATCTCTGTAGGGGGCCTGGTCCATTTGGAGTGAGCTCAGAGGGAGAATAATTCCAGTGGTGGGAAATGAAGTGGTTGAATGAATACCTCAGGCAGCCCTGGGTTCAAATTTTAATTCTTTCAACCTATCATTTGTAGGACATTGACCATGTCACATTTCCTCATTTTTGAAATAAGGACAAAAACAGAACCAACCTTGTAGAACTGTTGGGAGGATTAAACTAAATAACTTTGGCACAGAGTAGGAAAGTCAGACAAAAACATGTAAAACAAAACAAAACAAGTAAGTGCATAACTTTGAAATGCAATAAATGCCATGAAAAAAAAAAAAAAGGAACAACAGGCCACATGAGAGGACATTTTTAGACAGAGTGTTCAGCGAAGGATTCTCTGAGGAGGTGATATTAAAGCAGAGACCTGAAGTATAATAAAAGGGCTAAAAGTGGGAAGAGATGGGCGTAAGAATGTTCTAGACTTTGCTGTGTGTCACTGTCTCTCTAGTTTGATTACAAGTACATGGAGGTCATCAAACAACACAAGAAGTTATAACTCCTGGTCAGGCAGAGCCAGACTCTTCTTTCAAACAGTTCTGAGAATTCTGCCTCTGTGGCAGGTTCTGGGGGAAGAGATGTAAAAAATACAATCGTGAAATCACAATCCAGGTCACATGAAGCATGGAGAATCTGGCCAGCTTTCATCCTTCAGGGAAATCTGTGGCTGAAGACAGAAAGACACTGGTCCTCTTGTGCCCTCATAAGACCCTGCTTAAGAGTGAGTCACGGGTGAGCCTGTAAGCTCGGTCAGCACTGTGATCTCAGGGGACATCAAGCTTAACTAGCACAACATAGTTCATAAAAACATTGTTTTCCATCCTACTTTGGTGAGCAGCACTGGGGTCTTAAAAGCTTGGAGGGGCCATCTAAGATACAACTATTGGTCTCTTCTCATATGGAGCAAAGACGACTGAAGAAAATCAAAGACATATGGAAACAATTAGTCCAATAGACTAATGGACCACAGGAACCTCAGCCTACATGACCTGGAGACCAGAAGAATTAGATGGTGCCTGGCTACCAATGCCAAACATTCAGAAAGGGATCAAAATTGGAGATCCTGGATAGAGTGGGAGGAAAAATGTGGAACAAATTTCAAAAACATAAGAGTGACTAGAAGTACTTGTCAGAGATGGGTGAAACTCCTGAGATTATGGCCCCAGGTTACCCTTCGGGTTGTACTTGGATTCACTTCCATGGGCAAGCTCTCAGCCAAACAACAGAAAAGTCCTAAGAGCTGAATACCTACCCAGGGAGATCCACCCCTTAGAACAGTCAACCGTGAGAGAGCAGAAGGCCCTCATTTGTATAGGCAGAAAGCTAGATAGACGAGAATGCATAGGGAAGAAGGACACAGGGAAAGGGTAACCACAGGGAGGAGGTGGGAGGAGAGCTGTTCCCTTATGGGGATTTTAATAGCTGCTGTGTAACAAAAAGTGTATTAACTGTTGAGTGTAAAACAGATCTGCTTTGTAAATTTGCACCCAAATCACAGTAAAATTAAAAAAGAGTAAGACCCTTCTGACTGTTCTGTGAAGGCTGGGGCAGGGAGAGACCTGGGCGGTTGGAACACTAATCTAGGCAAGGGATCCTGACAGAAGAAATGCTTAGAAGGAACGACCACCAAAATCAAATTATAAAACATTTCTTGCACCCCAGAAGGGTTAAACAAAAAAACCCCAAACGAAACTTGTTCCCACAATGTGGCTTCATGGTGACCACCGTGTACTACAGAGTAGAACTGCCCCCATGGGGTTTCCTACTGAAGCAGGTTGCCAGACCTTTCACAACACCACTGCGTGTATTCAAACTACCAACCTTTAGATTAGTAGTCTAGGGAAAAAGGCTTTCACCACCAAGGGGCCTCCCAAAATAGTAAAGGGATTTGAATTTAACCGTTCAAGGTGGGAGTGGCTCCTCACCCCTCAGATCCACTCTCACCCCAGCCTTTCTGCCCATTCCCGGCCTAGGCAGCCAGGAGCAGTCTTTAACCAGGCAAAGCACATGGTTCCTTGAGAATGTGAAAAAAACGAGGTGCTTCCTCGTTTGTGCATCTCTTGGGCACCTTCCCTAATGCTCTAGACCTTGCTCTCTTGTTTGGCCCCATCTTCAGGCCCTGCCCACTTCACGCACCACCCACTCGATCCTCCTTTAGGTCACACCTCCTTCCGGCTCCTCCCCAGAGTGGTTACTATTGGGCCTCTTCCTTCCTGCACTGCTTCCGGGCCCGCCTCCTGTCCCGTTTCAATCTTTCCTACCTTCTGGGCTTCTCTTTAGCCCCGCCTCCGGCCTCCTCCTTTTCTAAAGCCCCCTCCTTTCAGCCCCGCCCCAGCCTCCCTCCACCGTTGACTCCTCCTCTGGGCATAGTCTCTCTTTAGCTCCACCCTCAACTCCTCCTCCTTTCAAGCGTTGCTCTGGCACGGAGTTCTGAGGCCTTAACTACCCGCCGGTTGTCTTGTTAGGGCATCATCTTCTTAGCCCCGCCCCACTCTGCCATAGTGTTTTAAGCTAATCCTCCTTCCTTCCCTTTAGTCCCTCCTCCCTGCCAGGCTCCGCCCTGGCCTCTTTCTCCTCTCCCCGCTGAAGCTTCGGATCTTTCCAAAGCGGGCTGAGGGGGTGGGGAGAGCCTAGGCGCTTGGAGAGTCGGGCTGTATCAGGGCTGGGCTGCGGACTCCTTGTGCTTATGTCATTCATGTCCTTCCTTGGAGACACGGGCGGGAAAAGGGAGGGCCCAGGGCTAGGGCCGGAGCGGCGGGCGGGGTCGAGCTGAGGGAAGTCTCTCTGGGCGCTCCCACCCCCCAGCGCCTCAGTGGTGCCGGCCGAGGGAAGCACTCGCGGTTGCGGGGGTAGCGCCCCTGCCAGTGCGGTGAGGCGCGAGCAGCGCGGGAGCTGGGCGGGCTGAGCGGAGAGAAGCTGAGAGGGGGCGGCAGTGGCGGCTTCCGCGCGTGTGCTCAGTCTCCTCACGCCGCGGCCGGGGCCGCCTTCTTTCCTTCCTCCTTTACTCCCTCCCTCCCTTCCGCCCCCGAGTGCGGCGGCACCGCCTCCTTCCGCGTCGCGCGGCTTCCTCCAGACCTCTCGGCGCGGGTGAGTGGGGGCCGCGGGCGTCTTCTTAGAGGTGCGGGAGGGTGATTCCTCGCTCCTTTTCGGTCGCCCACCTCTTCTGACGAGCCTCTGCCTATTTTTAGAAACTTCTGGACAATTCAGGGAGTCCCAAGAGCCTGAGTAACTCCAGGCCCCCTTCCCCCAGCCCCGGCTCGCCGCCCCAGGCCGCCCTCCCTAGCCATCCCGCGTCCGCTCTCGGCCTCCCAGGCGTTCCCTACCCGCTTCCTCCCCGCGGGCTCTTGGGCCAGGAGTTGGCGGGGTGGGCCCGCGCCCGCTCGGAAGTTGGAGTCTTTTGTGCTCGCGCCCCGCCCCGCCCGGCGAAGGGAGGAGGGAGAGGAGCGGAGGCCGCGCCGGGGAGGCCTTGGGCGGGCTCGTCCCCGGACCCAGGCTTCTTCCGGCTCCCCTTCTCGGGACTGGGTCTTTGGGCTCTCGGAGGTGCATAAAACTGGTCATGCCTCTCTCCTCACGGGTCTGAGCGCCTCGGCCCCCATCTCTTCTCGTTGCACACTTGGAGCTTGAAGAGGGACAACAGCAGGCCCTCGAGCTGGGCTGTGCTCCATCCTCATTTCAAGCATCCTCCTTCGAGGCTGCGCTTCGGTTTGCGCCTCCGTGAAATGGGGGAAAGAGTGCAATTTGTATCGCAGGGTGTTTGTGGATTCAGTGAGTGTACCATTATATGAGAGGAGTGTTTAATGCCAACAGGTAACATTTAATGAGACTTGAGCCGTGCCAGGCATAATCGTTATTTCATTGAATGTTCACAGCAGCCTTCTGGGGTTGTGTCCATTTTACAGAATCAGAAATCAAGGCGCAGAGAAGTTAAATAATTTGCTCCATACTGCCCAGTAGGTACAGAAGTGTAAGGCAGTAGTGCTAATAACCTGTTAACTTACTTCCTGGTGTGAACATGGGTGATCCCTTGGTGCAGAGGGGATTTTGGTTGGGTCACACCATTAGAACCATAACTAGGTTCTCTCTGACTCCTGGGCCAGTGTCCACTGTATTAGGAATGAAAGCTCATTTTGAGGCTTACCAGAAGCCTCAAAGGAAAGGAGGTTAGGATGAAGTTCGTGGTCGTGTTGTTGCAGCTAGAATTTGATGAATGCAGGGGACTCCAGATGTCAAGCATAACTGAAGTAGCTGGAGCTTTGGCTCAAGGAAGGCTTCAGTCTTCATAAACAGTGAGATTCGTTCTTTATTTTGTTGATGGCATACTCCTCTACTATTATCTCACTTCCTGCCCCTAAACCTTGCGTGTTCTCTATATATACTATTTAATAGGTCTTAGGGGAGTGGAGACTTAAGTCATCTGCTTCAACTCCCTGCTTTCAAATAGGGCTTTAGTTCTCCTATTTTCAGATAGGGCCCAGAGGGGTTAAAGTGAACCAAAATTAACTTTGGGAAGTGCTCCAGTTTTCCAGTGTGATCCCAAGTGTGGGGTCTGTGGAAATCAGGCAGGGGAGTTCCAGGGCTACATCTGAAGGAGTCTCCTGGAAGGGAGTCTTGTACTGATGTTTACGTTAGTCCTTCTGAGTGTGGTTGGTTGGCAGTGCTCACCCACAGTGTCTGGGTTTAGGAGTTAGGTATGTAGGATCTGGAAGGGATCTTTCAGACCATCTTGTCCACCTTTCCTGTATGCCTTTTCCCCCCTTTCCTACCAGTTGAATCTTGGAAAGGGGAAGTAGTAAGTTGTCTAATGCACAGATAGCTTTAGAGATAGAATCGGAGCTAGAACTCCCAACCTAGTGATTTTTAGTTCTACCACCTCATGAAAGACTGTGAAACCACTTATCAGGTCTTAAACCCAGGAATCCTGAGTGAGTGGAAATCCCAAGGGGATTAGCATCCCAGCCACACCATGCTTCAGGTGAAGCATTCAAAGGAGGCTAGGTTTTGTGCACAGGTGGCCACTTATTTTATGGTACTTTATTTATAGTTTATAGCACTCTTCTGTAACCATTATCTGGTTTCATTTCTGATCCATTTCTATGAGGGAGTTCACAGACCTCTGTTTGTACAGTCATATGCCACATAACATCTGTTAGGGCAAGGTCTGGTCTGACCTGATTATATGTCTGTGGTCCCAACCCCTATAAAGCCTATTATAGTAAAAATTCAAGGTACATACCATGGTTTGTAATAACAAACAGGTTCTACTTTGTGACTTTATGTGCATCCATACACACTATTACTGTATTATGTTCAAGATGATTTAGTGTATCTGGAAGTGTTTCTGTAGTGTTTTTGTACATAAAAAGGTACACTACTAAGACACATTTGACTAATGTTAGATTAGAGCTATACCTAACTGTTCTGACTTATGTTTAAATTCAACTTAAAGACAGTTTAAATTCAACTTAAAGACAGACTTAGGAACAGAACCTGTAGTTAACAGGTCATGGAGGGAGGGCACCTCTCCGGAGCAGAGGATTTGACTTACCATCTCTTAGTGTTATGGTGGGGACTATGAGAAAATGGCTGTGAAAGTGCTTTGTACTAGTAGTAATGACAGCTAACATTCATTAAGTATTTACCATATACCAGGCATTGTACAAGGACTTTCTGTGCAGTATCTTAATCGTCAGAGCAATAGTATGAATTAAATACTGTTATTATCCCTGTTTCACGGAAAAAGAAATGGGCTTAGAGAGGTTCATGACTTGCTCAGGGCCTTATAATTGCCAAATGGCTGAGCCAAGGTTCTAATTGCAGACAATATAACTTTAGAGCTGGCATTCTTAGTGCTTCCCTTAACCTCAGGGTGCTCTGTAAATTCACAGTGATTATTAGTCCTCATCTGCAGGGTGTGGCATAGAGCCTCAAAGCAGGTGCCCAGGCCTGGTTGTACTTCTGGTTAAGCTTTTTCTTCTTTTTGTTCCTTTGTAGATTGAAGCTAAGATTAGTTGATTTTTTTTTTTTGAGATATCTGCTAGTCCTTTCTGGATCTTCAGAAGAGACTTCTTAACCCTTGAAATATATAACCCAGATGACTCCCTACCCTCACCTTACTTGCACATGTGTTTTTGACCATCCAGGGTTGGGTATATGGGGCTGCAGTGAT